CCCCTCTCTATTTCAGGGCCTCGCATTCATCTGGGATTGCAGCTTCGGGATGAGACGGGCTTCGCATACGAGGGGGTGGTGAGCACCTACACTGTGTATTAAATCATCTGTATTAAATTGTTCTTATTTCAACCCACAGGTCTCCCGTTTCTCCTTTAATTCTCTCCCTCATCCCTGGAGGTGGGGGAGGGTGAGTGAGCGACTGTGTAGGGTTTGGTTGCCAGAGCGGCCTAACCCACGACAGCCACACAGACGAATCTTCTGTACTTTGATAATAAAATTGTTTTCAGTGTGATTACTACAAATTAAAGGCCACAACAACAGCATATAATACATATTTCAACACTAAGTACCTTCAACCACTGGAAAAGGAGCCTCTGTTTTTTTTGTTAACGCTATTAGACACTCACTTAAGAAGCAGCAAAAGACAAGACAATCAATATAAAACACTTATATCACCTGGCACTTCTGGAGCTTTAACCAGATTCACTGAGTATTCATCTTTGAATGCCCGCTTTAACACACATGCCATGATCATGGCACAGGAACGCCAATAGGCCTGTAAAGAGAATTTCAAAACACAGATTTATTACCTAGAAGCTAACAACCCATACCAGATGAACATCAGCTATTTGTGTCTATGCCCATGGCAGGGGGGTTTGGAACCAGATAACCTTTGAGGTCCCTTCCAACCCAAACCATTCTACAATTCTGTGATTCCAAGATGACAAACCTATCGACCCAAGCATTACTTTCCTTAGTATTTAAACTTTTATTTGGAGATGATTATCCATATAGAATCAATCAAAAAAACCCCAAACTGCACTTAAAATGCAAGCCAGATGTTTCCCTGGAGATATTTAAATCTGAAATCACAGAAGAATCCAACAATATAGGTTGCAAAGGATGCCTGCACATCACCTAGCCCACACCCTTGTCCAGCTAATGACAGCCACAACACGCCAACCAACTGTTAAAAACATCTGAATTTTCACAACAACAAAAGTTCAGGAAAGCAGACTGACACGGAACTGAAAGGAGCATACAGAATCACATGGTCATAATAAGGGTCACCTACAACGGGATAAGACACAGATTTACCTTGTTTACTTCCTCTGGATCTTCATCTTTGAAAGTAAGGAACTGAATTTCACAGGATTTGGTCAAGGGTCTATACATATCCCAGACTTCACCATCCACAAGAGCTAGAACAGATTTCTGGCAATGCCATTCACTCAAGTCTAAAGAAAGTTAAAAAAGCATTACACAGTTATTAACCATATTCCTCGGAGTCAGCAGTTCAGACCCCTGCATTTTTAACAAAAAAAATTACAAGTTTCACTTTTGTAAATGACTTGGAAGGATGAGCTGTTAACAGAGCCTCCAAAAATTAACTCCGTTTCTGCTGATGTATTTTAGTACAAGTGTATTTTAAAATTCCCAAGCATAAACATTCTGAAGGCATGCCTGTTATCTTGGTCATTAAAATGTCAACAGTACTAACACTTGACATTGAGACGACAAGTACTCCAACTGGCAGCACAGTTTTCACCATCAGTGGCACAACGTTAGTTTAAGATTCCATTCACTTACGCATGGCACAATTGTACGGAGTAGACAAAACTTTGTTCATTACAAACACACTGCCAGGGTGCGACTTCCCGGTGTATTTTACTTCGATTTTCTCAATTCGCGGATAAAGAGACAACTGCCTCTCTTTCTCTTTGGTGAAGAGCTCACTGCGCATCTGAATCACTTCCTCTGATGTCGCTCGAGAAACAGCTGGTGTGGAGATGAACCCTGGTAAAACGAAGGATCTCAAATAAGCAACAGGGAGTTTCCAAAGCCTCTTTACAAGACGTTGGTTTCTGAAGGAAGGAAGACACGCCACCGCACTGCTAACCCGTGTCGGTCTCCATACGCACAAGGCGAGCACTCCACTTACTGCCCGTCTATTCCTGGTCCCTGAAACGCTCGCATGAAGTCACGACAGAAAGCGCTTAACCAACGAACGCTTAATGGCGCTCTCCGGCTGCGAAGGCCCTTCCCTCAGACACGCCGAACGCCGCC